CATCCTACCTACCTTCCCCAGCCCCATCCCTCCTCTCTCTATTTACTGCTGAGCTCCCTTACCCCTCCCCAATTTCTGAAGTAGGGTCCCGACACGAAACGTCAACTTTCCTGCTCCTCTGCTTCCTGGCCTGCTGTGTTTGTCCAGCTCCACACTGTTATCTCTGTACCCGTCTCCTCGCCTGTCCAGGTCTTTCTGCACCACCTCCTCAACACTATCTGTCCCTCCACCTATCTTTGTGTCACCTGCACACTTGGCAATGATACCCTCAGTTCCTTTATCCAGATCGCTGCCACATAACCTAAATAGTTACAGTCCCAACACTGCCCCGCTGGAATAGTCACTGGCTGTTAAAAGGCCCATTTTATCCTAACTCTGTCTTCTGGTCAGCCAATCCTCTATCCGTGCCATGCCTTGCCCTTGACAACATGGAATCTTATCTTAACAGCCTCCTGTGCAGTACTTTGTCAGAAGCCATCTAGAAATCTAAATAGATCATACCCACTGGCTCTCCTTTGTCTAATTTGATCGTTACCTCCTCATAGAATTCCAACAGATTTATGCAATACAATGCAGCACACGAACAGGCCCTTCCGCCCATGTCTGTGCCGATTCTAATCCTTATTTAGACCCCTACTTATGGCCCACGCCCAGTTTCTAATAGTCTGTTCACCTCCCATCATGTGCATATCAAGAAAAGCCTTTAATGTTGCTAACATGCCTGCTTCCACCACCTCCACTGGCAGTGCATTACAGGCACCGACCAACCTCTGAAAATTTTCTCCGTGTTTCTCCCAAAAGTTTCCCCTTTTCATCTTGAACCTATGCTCTCTTGTAATTGAACTTTCCACCCTGAGAAAAAGCCTCTGACTAACCACCCTATCTATGCCTCTTGTAATTTTGTAGAACTCTATCAGGTCGCTCTTTAGCCCCCATCTCTGCAGTGAAGACAATCTGAGTTTATCCAGCCTCTCCTCAACCAAAACCCTCCAGACCAGGCAGTGTCCTGGTAAACCACCTCTGCATCCTCTCTGAAGCATCCACATTCTTCTGGTAGTGTGGCAACCGAAACTGTATGCGATATTCTAAATGTGGCCCAACTAAAGTTTTGTACAGCTGTAACCCAACTTGCCATCTTCTTTATTCAATGCCCTGGTCAATGAAGGCAAGCATGCTGTATGCCACCTTGACCATCTTATCCACCTGTGTTGCCACTTTAGGGATCTGTGGACCTGTACCCCCAGATCCCTCTGTATCTCCATGCTCCTAAGGATTCTGCCTTTTATTATATAATTCTCACCTGAATTTGATCTGCCAAAATGCATCACCTTGCATTTTTACAGATTAAACTCCATGTGCTGTTTCTGTCCAAATCTGCAATCTGTCTGTACCTCACTATATCCTTTGACAGTCCTCCTCACTATCTGCAACTCCATCAATTTCGGTGTCATCTGCAAACTTAGGAAACAGACTACCTACTTTTTCCTCCAGATCACTTATTACAAACAATAAAGGTCCCAGTAGTGATCCTTAGGGAGCACCACTAGTTACTGATCTCCATTCTGAAAAGCACCTTCCATCGTTACTGTCTTCTGTGACCAAGTCAGTATTGTATCTGTCTAGCCAGCTCAACCCGGATCCCATGAGCCTCTGTCTCTGAACCAGCTTGCCATGAGGTACCTTATCAAATGTCTTAAAGTTCATCCACTGCCTTTCCTTCAACAATCATTCTTGTCACCTCCTCAAAAATTTCAATCAAATTGGTGAGACATGACCTACCCTGCACAAACCTATGCTGCCTATCACTAACCAGTTCAATCGCTTCCAAATGTGAGTAAATCCTATCTCTCATTATATTCTCCAATAGCTCACTGTCCTGTAATTACTTAGATCGTCTTTCTTTCCCTTCTTAAACAAAGGAGCAGCCTTGGCCAATTTCCAGGCCTCTGGAACCTTGCATGATGTCAAAGAGAATGCAGAGATACCTGTTAAGGCCCCAGCTACTTCCTCCTTTGCTTCCCACAGTATTCTGGGATAGATCCTGTCTGACCCTGGGAACTTGTCTACCTTTTAACGTATTTCAAGACACCCAATACTTCCTCCTTCATTGTATTGACCTGCCCGAGAGTATTCACGCAGCTTTCCCTAATTTCAATATCATTTGCGTTGCTCTCTTTGGTGAATGCTGATATGAAGTACTCATTTCAGGATCTCACCCATTTCTTCTGTCACTGCACACAACCTCCGTCCTTTATCCATGTGTTGGCCTGCTCTTTCCTTTGCTATCTTCTTGCTCCTAATGTATGTGCAAAATACCTTTAGAATCTCCTCAACCCTGCTGGCCAAGGACATTTCATAGTCCCTTTTAACTCTTCTAACTCCCCATTCAAACTCCTTACTTTCTGTAAATTTTTCAAGGATTTGTTTTTAGTTGCCTAGACCTTAGGTGTGCTTTCTTTTTTGGGTTAAGCTGATAATTTCCCCTGTCATCCGAGGTTCCCAAATTCTGCCATTCCTGGTTTCGTTTTTCACAGGAATATACCTATCCTGCACTCTAATCAACAGGTCTTTAAAAGACACTCACATTTCTAATGTGGATTTACCCTCAAGCTGCTCCCAATGAGGCTTGACCTCACCTTCATGAAGCCGTGCTCACTCTGTCCTATTTTACCATGCACTTTCAAATACTCCGCAATCTCATCCCTACTAATGGACTTAAATCTTATCAATGACAGAGGTCAGGCTAACTGGGCTGTAATTTCCCATCTTGTGCCCCTCTCTCTCAAACAGGGATGTTACACTAGCTATTGCCAGTCTGGGACCCTGCCTGACTCCAGTGATTCCTGAAAATTCAGCAGCCATGCCTCCATAATCTCCTCAGGTATCTCCTTCAGAACTCTGGGGGTATAGCCCATCTGGTTCAAGGGATTTGTCCACCTTTAGACCTTTCAGCTTTTCCAGTATTTTTTCTTCTTCGTGAAGACCACTATACTGTCCTCTGCCTGTGTTGAAGTTTTGTTATGCTACTGGTATCTTCCACCATGAAGACTGATGCAAAGTATCTATACAGTTGCTCCACCATTTATTTCTTTCCCATTACTAATTTTCAGCCTTGTTTTCTGGCAGCCCAGTGCCCACTCTTGTCTCTTTTTTACCTTTTGTATATCTAATAAAAGTTCTTGCAATCTTCTTTTACATTATGAACAAGCTTACCCTGATATTTCACCTTCTTCTCTTCCCCTATCCCCCACTACGAGCTGCTCCATAGAAACTACCTTATAGATATTTCATGGAATCTACTACAAGCTTGATTTTCCAAATCTATGGTTATTGTAATAGTGACTTTCTTGCATGCCTTTTCTATCCCCTGATTTTAGTTTATTTATTTTCATTGCAAACATGGTGCATTCACTTCCCACATTAATTGAAATCATTATTACATACTGCAAATAATTGTGACCCCAACATGCTTCTTGTGGCACTCCACTAGTTGTAGGTTGCCATCCTGAAAATGCTCCTTTCGTCTCAACTTCTTTTTTATATTGGTTTACCATTCCTCCATTCCTGCAAATAGAGTACAACGTTCCCTCCCCCAGTCATGAGTTTTTGGTAAGTAGCCCAAGGTGTGGTATCTTATCCCCTGTTGGAAATGTAGATATATTACATCCACAAATTTTTCTTTATATCCTGCCTGTTCTCTCTTCACAGTTCTCATAAAGTTGTTCAACATGATATCCCCTACTGAAACCATGCTGACTTTGCTTGATTATTATGTATTTCTAAATGCAGTATCAGTATGCAGCTCTCCATGTATTGCTTAAGTCAGATTCCAGAATGAAACCTGGTATGATAGATTATACATTGTACTTGTGCAATTTGGTGGTCAGTCATTGGCAGCCTCTTGTGAATATGTCCATGTATATATTGAACCAAAAAACATCAAAGTTTATTACAATTGAGGAAAAAATAAGTTTTATTTTGCAGTGTATAAGAGCTATTGGAAGCAGTTTTTTATTAACTTTTAAAACATAGATTCAATGCTTTTACCCTTAACCTACTTTTTCTTCTACACTGTTACCTTATTTTAATGCATATAAACAAATATATAGACAACCTTGTACCATGTTCAGAACTTAAATGAACCTAAATCTTTCACTTCCTAACCCACGCATTATGGATAGACAAATGAAATTCAAAGCAACACACGCTTCCATCCGTGTTAGAACCCAAATTTCCAAATAATAATAATGTACCATAAGTCTCCATCACAGGATACAGGATGATGGAGGTTTTTCCAGTATTTTACCAGATCCTTAATCTTTTGTCATGTTGAACATCATTAGATAGAAATGGGCAGACACTTCTCTTGTATGTTTCTGAGGGCTCAGGAGAGGAGTAGTTGGGATAGTGGAACCGAGGGCACAAGAGGTTATCACTTGTACCAAAACTGGGCTTTATTTCTGGTGGGTTTAATGGACTACATTGTCAATTGCATAAAAAGTGTTATAAATGTTTAGATACCATTTTTAAGTCGGTCATTCTGACATAATAAGTTGTTGGGTGTGTATACATGAGGCCATCGTTTTATATGTAGAAGGCAAACTTTTTTATAAGTCCATACAAGTTTTCAAGTAGTTATTAGGCCAGAACACACACGTTCCATACAAACTATATCCCCTTTTTAGTGAATGTTTTCAGTCAATCAACTTGCTCATATCTGTTGTGTTAAGTGGCAGTTTTATCATCAAATCATGCACACAAGGCTTTTTAAGACAAGTGAAATACCACAGTTGCTAAGATGAACTGTACAGATTAAATCATGGAGTCAGTTACTCTTATTGACTTGATAATCTCCCCAAAGCATTTAATTTTTTTTAAATTAAATTTTGAGTTGGACAACTTTATCAGCTAGTATCTTTTCAAGACGCTTTGATTTTAGCAAATGTATACGTTTTAGCAAACGACCTGACCGAATATAAATTGCTTTTGTTGTTTTTCAGGTAAAGGGAACATAACTGTAATTTCCGCTTCATCACATATGGAGGATAAAGAGGTTTGTTCTAGTTTTGCTCTGCCAAAGAAATGCACGTAAAAACTTTATTGAGCAAATCCCCTAGCTTCTAGTTGAGTTTTGGATTTAAGTTGCAGTTTCATCGTTTTCAGATTACTTAAACCTAACAAAGCTTGGGTACGTTTGTTTAATCTGAAACTTCATTCCATAATTCTGATTGCAAATGAATACCAACGTAAAATGTTACTTAATTTTATTCTGTAGGATTTTTGTTTCATTTGTATAGATGTAATTGAACATTTTTTCTTTTCCTTGTTTCTGCACTTTTTAGGGAGTTTGCAAAGTTGTGAGTTATCTGTTTGCATCAGGCTGATAATTCTAGCGTAGTCTCTTGTGTGCTTTTAATACAGTGTAATTACTTCACATTGTAGGTATTCTCTTTGCAGACAGGTCCTGTGAATTTAATGTTTTGTTTCTTTAGAACTCTGGGTGTCAATTTATTTTTCTTTCCTCTTGCTCTTTTGCATTGTATCAGCTTCTCCACATCTATGGGAATAAGACTAAAGTTTTAATGCATATATTGTTATTGCCCATTTAGTTGACCCATTATTTTATTTCTTAAATAGGAAAAGCAAGGGTATCATAAATAGTAGAAGATGAGATCAGTTATTCCTTCTTTATACTATTTTGTCCTAAACAAAAAGAGGGTTTCCCTGGTTTGTAGAATTATAATTCTTTGTGGCAAAGATTAAGATAGATCCAGAAAAGTTACACAAATGCATGCAGCTGTGGTATTTTATGAATGTTTTGCAACAGACTTTCCCACCCTACCTGTTCGAGGAAAAAACATCCAGTAAGGCTGGGTTCTGACAGTTCTGTTTTTCTTTTTTAAAAAAAAAAAAATCTGACCTGTTAGCAAGCAAAATTGAATAAGCTGCCTTTGCATATGTTTTGGCAAAAAGGAGTTCTGTCTAGTAATAAGGATTAAGACATTACAATTGAAATGATTCTAAGCTTGAAACAGTGATCCCACCTTCCCACCACTGCTACTTTCCACTGTTGGTTGGAGGAAATGCGTATTTTGGGAGAGTCATTCCTGTTTAAAATAGGTCCTGTTTTTAAAAATAGATGACAAGTTATAACATTGCTATACAATGTGAGTTTATTGGAATTTCTGGTAGCTTTGATATTAACAATTGATGGAATCCTGATGCAGTGACTGTTTACAATTTTTATCTGTGCCTTGTTTTCAGTTTGAAGTTAAAACTTAATGGTGTGTTTATTTCGGTGGATAGAGTCATATTGTCTGTTTAATACTAGAGGGATCAAATGAGACTCATCCATTCATTTCCTTTTCAAAGCAGTAACTGTCACGGACTTCCTGGCTGGTTTGTATGCACTTGGTTTTTTGTATTAGCTGGGGTTAGGTGTTTGGTAAAATTGAAAGACTTTTTTTGTAGTGGAAGAGTAATATTTTCAATTCCAAGAAGGGAAATTTAAATTGGTGATTATTGAATGAACTTGAGCAATCCTGATTCATAAGTAGCTTTTGTATATCAGTATTCTTGCAATTTTTCTTCAAGACTCAATGCTTGAGAAAATGTATAAGTAATAACTGCTGGCTTAGATGGCCTTAGAAGAGAAAAACTTGAGGAAATAATATCATTGTGGAGAAAAGATGGATGCCATATTGTAATCTAGAATGTTTGAGTAACTAAACATTTCCTATGAATACAGCATTGACCTCTATCATGTTTGTCTCTATCCTTTGTAATGGAAACCTTTTGATACTTGCCTTGACTGAATTCTAAAAAGATTCTTCACTTTGTTTCCAGAGTTTTGGAATCTCTGTCCCTTGAAAGCCCTAACACATTGTACTAAGCAATCCTCACCAGCTGTAATGAGCTTTCCTACTCTGTCAGGATTGGGAACTTTTCATGTTTTGTGATTCAATTATATATTACAAAAATTTGATTTTTTTCTTTAATGGGCAGAGTAGAAGATTTCTGATGTGTTGTTAGTTTGGAAAGTTCTGTGAAATTTTCTCATTCTTGATAGGTTGTCTAGAATTAATGCCTTTTACTTTGCATTCTTCATGTGGAGTATTGTTTTGCCAGAATAGTGCTTTAGCTATCATTGATCCAAATTGACTTCAGAGAAGCAGACTTGTTTTTAAATATGGGTATTCGAACAGATTTAATCTTTTCAAAACCTGTATCGGTTCTTATTAATTACTTTGCGGTTAAGCATTTGAAAACCTAAATTTAGATGTTCTTTTCTGTTTAAAGGCCTCCAGTCAAAAATCGAAGTCTTCGGGAGCATCCCGTTCAAGAAGGTTAGTACTTTGAGTATGGTGCATAAGGCAGTGTGCTGCCATTATAGTGTTGGGCACCAGGATGAATACTTTCATTCCAGTGAACTCCCAAGCTCAAACCCCCAACTGCTGTACTACTGTGAAGTGATGCTTTCATCATGGAATAGTTTTATCACCAATCTGCTGCTACACGTCTCCTAGACTTTGGTTAAGACCAGCATTTTGACAGGTCTGTTGTAGAGTGTGGTCCTGCTAGAGCTGTAAAATGGAAAATATTTTGCATGATTTGGTATTTTTAATTATATTACCTTTTGCTAAATGGTGAAGACAGAGTGCAAGTTTTTTTTGACTGCCTTGGTTACTGAATGGTGATAGGTGTTTATACCAAATTATGTATCTAAGGGACATTTGACAGTATTGTGTATGAAAGCAGTTTTCTACTAGTGCATGTGGCTAATATTGTCTCCAAAGCCACACTTGTTTCAAGTCAGTGGTGTTTATTGGACAAGACTGCTCAAGAAAGTAAAGTCCCAGGCTTTCATTAAAAAAATGAAACGTTAGTTTCTTGTAGTGCTGACGGTGGACATGTTATTTAGATCTGGCCAAAACCTGCCAGCATTAGTATTGTAATTTTCATGGACGTTCATCTTAATATTCAGTTCAATGTTGAATTGGTGAATATGTGACAGGGTTGGTAATTAAAATGTGAGTCAAAGGTCAAGCTGTTTGGTGTCTATGGTAGTTCAATTCAAAATGGTGAATGCCTACATCAATGGTCAGTCACTTTAATACTTTCTAAGATTCCTTGCTGATAAGTCATTTTACCAGATGCATTCGTAGAGTCATAAAGCATGGAAATGGACCCTTTGGTCCAACCAGTCCATGCTGACCATGTTCCTAAACTAAACTAGTTTCACTTGCCTGCGTTTGGCCCATATCTCTAAACATTTCCTATTCATGTATTTATTCCAATGTTTTTTGCAAACATTGTCACCGTACCTGCATCCATCACTTCCTCTGACAGTTCATTCCACACACGAACCACAGTATTTTTAAAAAAAAAAGGTTGCCCCTCCTATCCTTTTTAAAACTTTGTCCTCCCCTTTAAAATATGCCCCCTAGTTTTGAACTCCCCCACCCTAGGGAAAAGACCGTTGCTATTCACCTTATCTATGCACCTCATGATTTTATAAACCTCCTATTAGGTCAACTCCTCAACCTGCTGCACTCCAGCCTATCTTTGTAACTCGAACCTTACATTCCCAGCAACATCCTGATAAATCTTTTGAACCCCATTCAATTTGCTAATATCTTTTCTATAGCAGGGTAGCCAGAACTGTGCACAGTACTCCAGAAGAGGCCTAACCACCGTCTTGTACAAACTCAACACTATGTTCCAACTCCTATATTTGTGTCTGAGCAATGAAGGGAAGCATGCTAAATATCTTCTTAATCATTGTCTACCTGTGATGCAAATTTCAAAGAATTATGTACCTGAACCCGTAGGTCTGTCTTATACAACATTACCAGGCCCTACCATTAATTGTGTAAGTCCTGTCCTTGTTTGTTTTACCCAAATGATTCAAATATATGTTGACCAGTTGCTTGGTTGCATAGCACTTGTACGCCCTTGCTGCTGTTAGTCACTGAAGGCATCTTGACCCAGGAGGCTTTTATTGCTGGTGAACTTCCATAATTTCTGGCAATTGATGGGACAGAATTTTTCTCTCCCTTTTTCTCACATTTTTACACCAGTCTTTTCAATATCATTTCTGACGGCATTGATTCTTTCTCTGAATTTTGGTGTCTTTTGATACCTGGTGATGACCATTTTCCGTATGAGCCTAGGGAGGGAAGATTGCTTGAGTGAACTATATTGACCAGTAAGATGTAAATCATCAGCTCTGTCTGTTGAGTTCATTGATTGTGGACATGGTGGTGATGAGATAATTAGAACAATTTTTTGATTATAAAGAGAAAATCTTTTAGGATTTCTGCATGTATTTAGAGGATAAGATCTAGTTTAGTGTAGATTGTTCCTCTGGCCTTCTCTCTACCAGTACTTGCTACTCGGGTTCATGTATGAATAATGTCACTTTGAGGTCCAGGAGAGCCTGAATTTTGTGTACCTGTGCTGTTAGAATTAGTTGGGTCTCACAGGAGTGGAAAGAATAAAACTACATTTGGTATTCACAGTGGGTGAGAGGAATCAAGACTAAATCTGATACTATTGTACAAATTTATTTGGGCAAGTCTGCTAAAGAACAGTCTGAATGGCATTGAGTAGCACTGCTGAAAGTACTCAAAGCTAATGTTTCTGATCCAGGGTTGAATCTGGCAGTTTCTTGACCTTGGCTACTTTAGCTAATAATTGTCTTATTCAGCTGAACCATTGAAAGCATCTGCAGATTTTCTTTTGGCATAGAAATAACTTCGGATCTGGTGAGATGTTTCAGGGTGTTCATGCAAAGGGACTAATGCTTGACAGAATAAATTTTCTAGATCAACCTCTGCTTTACCTCTCATGCTGCTTAAAAAGGGATCTGAGTAGCTGCTATCACTACCTCAGTTCAATATTTTTTGGCTGACCATCAATCCTAACGTGCTTCCAACGAATGTCCCTAGAAGGGTAATTGCAAATTGTATGTTGTTGAGAGTTCATATTTGGGTGTTGTAGTCCATAACTTTTTCTGTTTTTAAAACTGATCAGGAATGGAGCATAGAGGAGAAGAAACAAAAACAAAGTTGCTGGAGAAGCTCAGCAGGTCTGGCAGCATCTGTGAAGGAGAAAACAGTTAACGTTTCTGGTCCGGTGACCCTTCCTCAGAAGAAGTAGAGGAGATGAGCTGTTGGGGAGGGGATCCAGCTCAGGTGTGATGTCTATATGGACAGCCTACCAGTATCAGTATATGGGCACTGGAGCTTATCTGTCAGCATTAAGGTGGTCATCTTTTCAAGGGAATTTCCCTACAATTTAATCACTTGATCTTTTTGAGCATACTTGCTTCTTCTGGCATTTTGCACTTCAAGTTGAGCCCTGTCTCAGTTTTAAAAACTGGTTGAGAAGTTCACCCTATTGATGATCTTATGTTTCTTTTACTTTCTTGTACATTCAGTTTGGTGTTTTCATGTTATTCCCTTTAGGACTCTGAGGTAACTTTGTTTTATGTAGCAGTTGTCTTGTGTTGCTTGACTTTGGAATAATTTTACCTCCTAATTAATTCACTTGCTGTCGTTTGTTACTGCAGACTGCATCAGGAACTTTCCACTTATGAACCTAGATCACAGTTTGAGCAGCTATTTTGATACTTAGGGAACAGAAAGGAAAAGAAAGCAATGCTATCTTCTGACCTCTCCCTAATCCCCTTTTTTTGTTATCAATTTTACGATTGATTGCAGAAATGATAGAATTCAGGACACCAGCAGAAGTTTTTGATGAATGATTTGGAAAGACTGCATATTACATCTAGAAGAAGAAAAGTCTTAAGCATGCATTATTCTTTTCTGAATACATTGATGTGAAAACAAAAACACATTGAATTGTGTTCCTAGACTCTCTGGCTTTGTTTTTATGATATGAACAAAGCACTATTTGCAGATCAGCAACTTTATATTTCTGTATGCTATGTTTGATTTTGGAATATATGATCATTCATATTTTGGGCTACTGTTTACTAAGATAATGAAATTCAGTTTTTGACATTCTGGGAATTTAACCGCTATAACCGTCACATTCTGTGCACAGTTTATTTTACTGTGCCATTTGGATTATGCCAACTGAAGGCCATCTTTCATTTGCACTGGATTACTTGGTGTGTAAGATGAAATGTTCAGCGATTCTGTCCATTCCCCTTTCATATGGTGAATCTAGTTAAACTTGTATCACCAATTTCAGTTGTCTGCATTTTGATGACTTTGACTGCTGTTTGTGGTCAATTGGTAAAGTGCAAAAAAGGTGCCAATTTTCTAATGGAGAAAAAAGGCCCAAACAGTTCGTATCCAGGTCACCAATGAAGACTGAGGAGTATTCTGCACAAGTCAAAAGAAGGATTGAGCGTAGTATTTGGCATTAAGAAGTTCACCCACTTCCTTTGCAGGAGCCATTATGCTCCTGATCGAACTGCTATTGAGCAGACCCCTCACCTCCATCTTTGGCCCGTATATGGGGATGCCTTCAATGGCGGCAGCATGCCTGCAGAGATAGGCGCTGACCTAGTCATATTAGATCAAATACCTACAGGCAGCTGCCCAGTCAAGGCTGCCACTACTGGGGAATAAAATTGTTCCCGACTAGAACCTGAAACTTGTGTATTTTGCCCAGGATGACAAGAAGCTGGTGTCAGTGAATCAGGTGCAAAATGCTGCTCAGGATTAAATAAAAACCGAAAGAACTACCGATGCTGTAAAACAAAAAACCAGAAGTTGCTGGAAAAGCTCAACAGCTCTGGCAGCACCTGTGAAGAGAAATCAGACTTAACGTTTTGGTTCCAGTGACCCTTCCTCAGAACCCAGAACCGTTCTCAGGAAGGGTCACCAGACCTGAAAGGTTAACTCTGATTTCTCTTCACAGATGCTGCCAGACCCGCTGAGCTTTCCCAGCAAGTTCTGTTTTTGGTGCTGCTCTGAACTACCCAGCTTTGAGCCGAATGGTGGACTTAGTCCTGAGAGGAAGAACCAGTAATGGAAACTACCCAGAATTACATCATTACCTGTCCAGGAGGTGGGAATTGCCCATATTGGACGGGTGTTTAATGTGGGGAATGAGCATCGTTATTTCCTCCCCCGCTAAGAGGAAATTTGCTGGAATGAAGGAAATAGCCAGGAGCTATTTTTGGTGGCTGAATGTGGACTTCCAGATTGAGGAGAAAGTGGGTTCATGTGAATCATGCACAGTGGTAAGAAAGATGCCACTTGTTGTTCTGTTACTCACGGGAATAGCAGTGGTAGCAGATTCACACCTATTTCACGGGACTGGTAGAGGGACAGAAACTACAACTGATCTTGGGATGCCCGTTCCAAGT